GTGCTATTAGTATTAAGGTTGAATGAAACATCTCCATGCACTTCCATGACCACTGGGGTTTTATCCACAACACAAACCTTTGCACAGGAGTACTGGAATAATGGAAAATGTTTCCAACTGTTGACATGAAGCTAGTTTTTTGTTTACTTCCTTGTTTATGAACCAGCATCATCTATGTCAGCACAGCTCTCAGAGCAGTGCTCACTTAGTTAACACAGCTGAGTCCAGAAGAGGGAGCTCAAATACTGTTTTGGCTCTGATCCCTCAAATCCTAGTGATTTACAAAAAATATAAAACAAACAGCTAGAATCCAGGGGATATCTCCAACTGGATTAAAACCACCTTTAAAAGGCAGATGACATTCTGAGCCTAAACTGTTTTTTATACTGTTTTTATGAATTTCCTGACACTTGAAGGACCAAATATGAATACCAACATTACTTGAAATTTTTTGTGCTCTAACATTTTGGTCCATACAACCTTGAAAAATTGATTAATATTTATAAAGGAATATTAAGGTTGCTACTCCATCATTTAGGATGACACACGCAGAGGCAAGCCTCATCAGGCTGTGCTGTAGCAGATATTTTGTGGGGAGACTGATGTGGATAGCTCATTCATCAAAAGAAAGTACTAATTGGTAGCGGAAAAGCTGTTGGAAGTTCATGTCCTGTCCCAAAAAAGGGGCTTTCCACAAAAGAGCCACTCTCCAACCTTAAAAACAGCTCCTACTCTCTGTTTATGATATTAAAGTCCACAATAAAGAGAAGTTCTTTTCACTCACTTTGGTAAGATGGGGTCTCACAGATCTCTCCAATTACAGGCACAAAGGTCCCATACACAAGGGGCAATTCCATTTGAGTCACATCCCCACTTTAGTGTGTTCCCTGAATTAGCCACTCACCTCCCTCTCCCTACACACACTGCCTCAGATAATTAAAAACAAAAGCAAAAAAACATGCTCCCAGGTTCTCTCTGCTGCAAGATGGGCCTTCTTCCCCACTCCGTCATGATGAGGCTAAGCTACCTTTCAAACTAAAATAATTTAAATCTCCCGGGGGGGAGAGAAAGATGTGTCTCTGGTGTGAAAAAAATTAAGACTTTTCTGTTTCATATTTAAAATACTTTGGTGAGAACAAGAAAATATCATGACTTAAAAAAAAAACCGCACACAAGACTACACTGCATAAAAAGATGAAGAATACCAACTCAGAGAAGCATTAATGTGCGTATGCACAAACGTTAGTATTGCAAGTCTTTGCCTCTGCTATGACCAATAACTAACCCTAAACAGACAAGATGGTAAAGCACTGCAAAAAGACAATTACTAATAATGAAAAAAAACAAGAGAAATTTTGGGTTGGTTCCACAAACTGAATCAGAATAACGCATTTTCAGACTGACAGCAAAGTGTGTGGTTGCCAAGTGAAATTGAGAGCCAACAGCAAGATTGTGCTTAACCCTTTTTATACTGCATTTTATACACAGATGAAATCATGCAATAAAAAAAATTCACAAAGGAGACATTGTGCTCAGCTATTTGGTCAAAATTTCCATCACTTCAGAACCCAGATTCCTGAAACAAGTTATTCAGCTTGGGTCACTTTCTCAATGCTGGTCTTCCTTAAACTAAAGATGAGTTCCATCTGCAAAATTCAGACTAGAATTTTGAACACCAATATTTGGGTATGCTTGGCTCTGGTATTGCGAGTTGTATCCATCCTTACCGTATATAAATATTTCAAACTGTGAATGCTCAGTACTGAATATCACTTTTCAATGGGCACATTTTAAGTACATGGTTTCATGAATTCTCTCTCAAGAATATTCAAATCCTGAGAACTATCTGGAGGGTTGAAAATTACAAAGCTCGTGTATATTTAAATAGATTCTTTACAAAACCCAACTTGACAAGCTCTACCAGGACAACAGCAACACAAGGGATAAGAGAAGATTCAGATAACGGCAAACATCACTAAAACTGCTTTCAGTATATCCTCAACTAACACAAGGAGAAACTTCACATAGCATCCTCCATTAAATGTCAACAAATAGTTTAGCATGAACAGAGTAAGAATAAGTAAGTATATACCATAGTAAGAGTTAGCTGATAAAAGAAATGTGCCTTTGTTTTATTAGAGAGACAAGATGGGTGAGGTAATATCTTTTACTGGACCAGCTTCTATTGGTAAAAGAGACCAAGCTGTTTTAATTAAAACAAACAAGTATTTACACTATTCTGATAACAAGGAATATAAAGCAATACAGCAAATTCAACAATATGTTCCCTTTCATGGTACGATAGGGCTACAAACAGGCTTGCATTTTTATTTTTTTATCTTAAAGCAGCATAAAAATGTTGACACACACAAGCTGAAGACACTAATGGAGAGTTTTCTCTCTCTCTCTCTGTCTCAACCATCACTAGATTTAAATCAGAAAAATCCATAAGCAGTCAAAATAGCACCCTGACATTCCTGGCAAGCACTGAAAATGTATTCACTACACTGTAATTTCTAATTATGTGTTTCCCAAAGACAGCACAAGACAAAACGGAGCTGAAGGTGCATTAATTTGCACTGATGACAATTAAAACATAATGGGAAAAATATTAATGATGTTAACTCAATGCATTCACACAGTTTTACTCCAGAGTAGCAGCCGTGTTAGTCTGTATCTGCAAAAAGAAAAGGAGTACTTGTGGCACCTTAGAGACTAACCAATTTATTTGAGCATAAGCTTTCGTGATCTACAGCTCACTTCATCGGATGCATGCAATAGAAAATACAGTGGGGAGATTTTATATACACAGAGAACATGAAATAATGGGTGCAGTAACACCCATTGTTTCATGTTCTTTGTATACAAAATCTCCCCATTGTATTTTCTACTGCATGCATCCGATGAAGTGAGCTGTAGCTCACGAAAGCTTATGCTCAAATAAATTGGTTAGTCTCTAAGGTGCCACAAATCCTCCTTTTCCTTTTACAGTTTTACTTATTATCAGTATGGCGATACATGTGCCTCCTCTACACCTTCTTGTGCCTGAACTCATCCTGCGTAATGTCTAAGTTCAGTTGCAAGCTACTCAAGGCAGGGACTCATCTCTCCATATTTTGTAAAGCAAAAAGGAAGCTTTCAGCACTCTACAGAAGGTATCAAGAAAGCAAATGCATATTTACAAAGGAGGAGGAGGACAAGGATCAGATTATAAACTCTTTGTGAGAGACACAATGTTTTCCTGTATGTTTGCACAGGACCAAGCACAAAAGGCCCCTGAACCTAAATACTACATGAAATCTTCCCCACATTCCTCATGGACCTCACACCCAGATGATACTCCTCTCACCTCAGTTTGGGCTCTCACTCACACAATGATGCTCATTCTTATTCCGAGGTACTGATTCTAGCCAGCAATAATAACCTACTTCTGTTCAGCAGGTGGGCATCATGGCACCACCAAAAGCTGGACAGGGCAAAAGGGCCTGCAGAACCCCATGCCACAAATCCAACCAGTTCCACTCTTGTGCGAGCTACCAGAATACATGGCACTCCCTGCCATGCATATATCCTGGGGAGGCAGCCTGGTGAGCCCGGCTCTCCAGAGGGGAATGTTAAACCAGCACTGGGGCTGCACACAGCACCCCACACACACGGGGGGGGGTGGGGGTGTCAATCGCCCCCTCCTCCCACAGCCACCCCCACACACACAGAGGGGGGGTCAATCGCCCCCTCCTCCCTCAGCCCCCCCCCCCCACACACAGGGGGGGGTCAATCGCCCCCTCCTCCCTCAGCCCCCCCCCACACACAGGGGGTGTCAATCGCCCCCTCCTCCCTCAGCCCCCCCCCACACACACAGGGGGGGTCAATCGCCCCCTCCTCCCTCAGCCCCCCCCCCCCACACACAGGGGGGGTCAATCGCCCCCTCCTCCCTCAGCCCCCCCCCACACACACAGGGGGGGGTCAATCGCCCCCTCCTCCCTCAGCCCCCCCCCACACACACACAAAGGGGGGGTCAATCGCCCCCTCCTCCCTCAGCCCCCCCCACACACACACAAAGGGGGGGGGTCAATCGCCCCCTCCTCCCTCAGCCCCCCCCCACACACACACAAAGGGGGGGTCAATCGCCCCCTCCTCCCTCAGCCCCCCCACACACACACACAGGGGGGGTCAATCGCCCCCTCCTCCCTCAGCCCCCCCCCCACACACACAAAGGGGGGTCAATCACCCCCTCCTCCCTCAGCCCCCCCCCCACACACACGGGGGGGTCAATCACCCCTCCTCCCTCAGCCCCCCCCACACACACACAGGGGGGGTCAATCACCCCCTCCTCCCTCAGCCCCCCCCACACACAGGGGGGGGTCAATCACCCCCTCCTCCCTCAGCCCCCCCACACACACACACACAGGGGGGGTCAATCGCCCCCTCCTCCCTCAGCCCCCCCACACACACACACAGGGGGGGTCAATCGCCCCCTCCTCCCTCAGCCCCCCCACACACACACAAAGGGGGGGTCAATCGCCCCCTCCTCCCTCAGCCCCCCCCCCACACACACAAAGGGGGGGGGTCAATCGCCCCCTCCTCCCTCAGCCCCCCCCCCCACACACACAAAGGGGGGTCAATCACCCCCTCCTCCCTCAGCCCCCCCCACACACAGGGGGGGGTCAATCCCCCCTCCTCCCTCAGCCCCCCCACACACACACAGGGGGGGGTCAATCGCCCCCTCCTCCCTCAGCCCCCCCCACACACACACAAAGGGGGGGTCAATCACCCCCTCCTCCCTCAGCCCACCCCTCACTCACACACACACGGGGGGGGGTCAATCGCCCCCTCACCCACGAGAGGGATGTTAGTTGCACCCTCCTCAGCCCCCACAAGGCGGACACGAGCTGCCCCCTCCTCCGCAGCCCGCCCGCTGCACGGCGGTCAGCCGCCCCCAGCCCCCCCCGGGGGCTATTGCCCCTCGCAGGGGTCCACCGCAGCCCCCCGCGCTCACTCACCCTGTGGGCCCGGGTCAGGCTCAGGTCCTTCATCACCTCCTCGAAAGCCGCCGTCTCCTCCGCCTGCTTCTGGTTGTGCAGCGCGATCTTCTCGCTGAATTTCCGCGGGTTGTTCGAGGCCGCCATCTTCCCCCGTCCGCGTCCCCCTCCCCGGGCCGGAGGGGGCAAGGCGCATGCGCGGGCGGAGGGGCCGGGCGGGGGGTGGAGACCAGCGGCGCCCGCGCCTGAGACGGGCCGAAGGGAACCAAGTGCGCATGCGTACGCGGGGCGAAGTGCCGCAGACGCCGTGGAACAGGCGCAGGAGCGGACTTCCGCGTCCTCGCCCCCGTTACTGGCCCTTTAAAGATGAGTTGGGAGGGGAAGGGAGAGGAGCAGGTTGGGCGCCGTCCAGCGCGCATGCGCGGTAAATCTAGGCTCCACCGACCCTGTTCCCATCCAGCAAGAACAGATAGACGGGGAGGGTGTCCCCTATTCTAGCTGCCCCCAGCCCCCACACACTTTCCTCCCTCCTCCCCCAGCCCTGGCTGCCCCCAACCCCCCCACACTTTCCTCCCTCCACCCCAGCCCTGACTGCCCCCCACCCCCCCCCACTTTCCTCCCTCCACCCCAGCCTGACTGCCCCCCACTCCCCTCCTCCTCCCCCTGCCCCAACTGCCCCCAACCTCCCCACACTTTCCTTCCTCCATCCCCTCCCCTCCCAGTTCCCCTCTCCTCCAGCCCTCACTGCCCCCAGTCCCCCCACTTTCCCTTCCTATTTCCCCGTCCACCCCAGCCCTGGCTGCCCCCCACTCCCCTCCTCCTCCCCCTGCCCCAACTGCCCCCAACCCCCCCACACTTTCCTTCCTCCATCCCCTCCCCTCCCAGTTCCCCTCTCCTCCAGCCCTCACTGCCCCCAGTCCCCCCACTTTCCCTTCCTATTTCCCCATCCACCCCTAGCCCTGGCTGCCCCTAACCCCCCCCCCCATTTCCCCCTCCTATTCCCCCCTCCTCCTAGCCCTGATTGTCCCCAACCCCTCCCTTCCCTCCCCCTATTCCCCCCTCCTTCCAGCCCTGGCTGCCCTCACCAGCAGCTACCCTCTTCTGCAAGAGAGGGTACAAGCAGTTAGGAGAGACGTGGAAGCAATATTTACACTGTGGTAACCCAGCCCCCCATAACTACCAGTGCATACCCGTATACCCACCTATAAATACACCTGCCCTCTCCTATATATATAAAAATATCGAGACACACACACATCTTGCCTGCTCTGTAGCAGCCTCTACTCTTACGAAAGGTGCCCCCAGCATCTTTACTGTCCATGCTGAGTAGTCAGGACCTTAGAAGACCCACCCTCCGTAAAATGCATGGACCTTCCTGCCTGGGAGTTGAGAGGGTGAAGGGTAGAGAAGAGATTGTAGCCTGTAGTTCCAGGGAGCGTAGTTGTTTCAAGTTCAGGCTGCTAAGTCACCCCTTGCAGCTGTGCTAATGCCATCTTGGTGTCAAGCGCTGGGGTCGGGGAGATGCAGGCATTCAGCAGTAATAAACCCTGATCATGCTGGTATTTCCTAACGCCCCCCACTGGCCTTTACGCTGCCACTTTTACGGAACAGCTGCGGTAAAGTCAGCACCCTACTTTTTGGTGCATTATTTTGTCACACGAACAGTCCATGCCCTACTAACGGTGTATTTGTAATGGTCAAGTGGTCAGAGCAGAGGCCTGGGAGTCAGAAGACCTAGAGTCTATTCCTAGCTCTGCCACTGACTCACTATGCAGCCTCTGCTGAGTGCCCCTGTCCCCTCCCTTTTGAGAGAGAGAGAGAACGATACTTATCCACATTTTAAAACTCTTGGAGATGGCTGGAGGAAATTATGCCTCTGTCAGCACAATATATTATAACTATTAACAACCAGGTAATAGTTTACCTTGCATTCCATTTACCAACCCTCAGTTCATTGATAACTTAGTAGCTGGTGTATTACTGATCAGGAATAAATAATTAGATAAACAGCAAACTGAATAGTTAAATACAGGCCAGCTGAGTAAATGGAACTGACTGTACAGTGGAATTAACAGTGTGCAAGCTGCATAATGGATCTTCAGTGCTAAATGCATGTAGAAATTTTGTGACTTATTAAGACTCATTAACTACTCATTATTTTTGCTTGGGAAGGGTGGGAATGATTTGCAGAGTTACCCCAGTCTCAGAACGGATTAATACAAATGGGAATACCAGGCATCCATAGACCCAGATAGCAATCTGCTGGTATTGGCATCAGAAGATTAAGTGCTAAAGATTAAACTTGATTCAACTTCCTTTCTCCTTCTATGGGGTGAAAGACTGTGGGTGGCCATTTGCTTAGATTTCATCCCAAAGGCAACAGAACCTTTCACCTTCCCTGACTTCTGCTTCTCGGGTGGTGCATGGCGGGAGAACACAGGTTTTTTCCAGCCGCGGTTTTCTCATGTGGCTTTGGCTCCATCGTCCTATGATGTGATTGGGTGAATTACAACAGCTAAACTAGTTCTTGTGCTCACATTCCACGATTTTAAAATAATTTGTTTAATGATCCCTTGGTAATCCTGTTGGGGCTTCCTAATAGGAATGGTTACACAAGAGGAAATGAAAAATTAGTCTCTCATCTGCTAGGAGCTGCTCAGTTAGTGGTAGCCACTAATGGGAAAAAGAAAAAACGGTCCAACCATAGAGGAATGATTCAGAAGATATGGGAGGTTGTGGTTATGGCAAATTAACACATCAATTACATACCTGTCAAAACAGACAGAGGATAGGTAGATAAATTTGATTACTGTTTATTCAATATTCAATGTACACTTGCATGCAAAAAAAAAACAAAAACCCAGCACACCTCTCCAATTGTTCCTGAATATTAACAGCGGAGAGAGATGCCTGGTCTGTTAAATATGTTAAACTTAATCAAATCATTCGAAATGACATTATAGGTGTTGCAATGATTCTCACTCGAATATTCTAACCGCCTGTCAGATAGAAAGATATGATGACTACATGCCTGTACGCCTCTCTGAACAAATGCTAACTGGTCATGGTAACTGTTTTCTTTCGGATATTTACATGGTAAGTATTTGTAAACTTGTTAAAACTTCTTACATCGTTTTTAAATTTTTCTTGCAAAATATTCACACATTTTCTTGCTTCTGGAGTCTTTCTCCGACGCATAGTTGCACATTATGGGGTGTGGCTGGGGTCTGGGCTACAGCTGCGTGCATGGCCTGGAAGCCAGTATAAATCTTGATTGCATTAAGGCTCTGGCAAGGAGGCAGTTCAGCCCAGTGCCAGGTTTCACCCTTCCCCCAGCAAATGCTGTGCTAAGTATTTGACAAAATGATGAGCTGAGGCCAGGAATGTTATTTATATGACTGCCCCTCTTTCCACCTTGAGCACAGATGGGCTATATGAGAACACTGATGGTCTCACTGGAAAACTTATCATAGAACATCAGGGTTGGGAGGGCCCTCAGGAGAGGTATCTAGTCCAACTCCCTGCTCAAAGCAGGACCAATCCCCAATTTTTGCCCCAGATCCCTAAATGGACCCCTCAAGGATTGAACTCACAACCCTGAGTTTAGCAGGCCAATACTCAAACCACTGAGCTCTCCCTCCCCTACAACAGGGACACCCTGGGATGGTAGCTAGACCTACCTCATCCCTCTACACCTTTTGTGATGGAAGCACCTTTGAGATTAGGACAGACCAAAGTGCTGAAGGTGGCTCCGAAGCTCACCTGGAGTTAGTGAAGCACAGGGGCTAAAAGGCTTGCATCAGGTTTTGCTGCAAACAAGGCCCTGCTTTAGATGCATCTGACCTGAGGTAGTTGACGTGGTAACAGTCAAATTTGAAGGTGACCGCATCCCTCCTTGCTATTCCCAGTGTTGGGATGGGGGTCTCTCAGGTTGTGTATTTGGGAGTTTCAAATTACATTGAGCTGCAGTCTCTTGTATCCTTCTACGTCTCTCTGTAAAGATTATACTTCGTTACACTCATACAGCATTAATCCAGTAGACACTGGCTCTCAAGGGACTTCACAGGCTGTCAAGACAGAGCTTACTTCACCCACTGCTGAAATGCAGCCTCAACACCCCCTTCTGAGTTGATAGGTCTTAGTCCCTGGTAGACAGATGTCCAGACTCAGCTGAGAGGCCAGAGGACACCTATTGTCTATCTAGTCCAGTATCCTGTTTTAATGCCCCACACCAGATGCTTCAGAGGAAAGGTGCAAGAATCCCCCACAATGGACCATTCTGGAATAAACAGCCCACAGCAGGAGTTTGTTCCTAGCCCCAGCCAGTTAGCTCATGCCCTGAGGCGTGAAGGTTTGATCCCTCATATTTCTTACCTAATGTAACTGTGGATGTTCTCTTTAGCCATAGAAATGAAACATCTACTCCTTTGTGAATGATTTGGATTTATTTGCCCCGATGAGGGGTAGAAAATGAAGGCACTTAGTGACTTTCTGAAAGCAGAGGTCTTCTTTGTTGCATTGGAACTGGATCACCAAATAAACTAGAATGTCTGGAAAACCCAAGCAGTTCAGGTGTTTGAGTGTCTTAACTTTCACTCCCTGGAACATTACCGAAAGTTGTTTATTCAGTGTAACCAGGTAACTACTTACAGACCAACTGTGGACCCATTTGAGTGGTTTCCAGAACTAGATTGCTGTCTTTGCTGTATGAGTCTGAACTTCACTTGCACACTGAGTTTCAGAGCAGCAGAGTCTTTAGGAGTTAAAGCTCTGATTCCGCAAAGCACTTAAGCATGTGTTTAATTTTAAGCACATGATTAAGTCCTATATCAGCAAAGCAGGTGAGCACATGCTTAATTTTAATGTGCTTCTGGAACTTTGAAATACAATCTTAAGTGCTTTGCTGAATAGGAATGGATTACTGACATACTTAAGTGCTTTCCCAACACTGGGCCTGTGCACCTCAAAATAGGTGCACTTTCTAAGCAGCTTCTTAAGGTTCCCCTTTGCTAGATCTGACTCATTCATTCAAATCCTAGTTACTTGTTCATAGAATTCCCATCCAAAGCAGAATGTAGTTACTTGTTTTGCACAATGCAAATGACAGATTCCCCAAACTGCAAGCCACAAACCAAAGCAGAGAAGTCACTGCGCCCCTATCCTCGGAAACTAAACGCAGCTTTATGGTTATTTTCAAGGCTCCTGCCTGAAACTCTCCCATAAAGAGATTTACAGGGTCAAGGCTTGCTTTTTCTGAATTCCAACATGATGGTGTTCATTCCCTGGTGTAAAGGCTGGAATATTTTCTATGTTACTGCTACAGACAGTGATAAGGTTCCCACCCCACCCCAACAGCTGCAGCCCTAGAGGACAAACAACCGCTTCCCCGATGACCTAAAGGTCTCAGATCTTGATGGGGAAGCCTCTCAAGCCCACATGGTAAGCAGAGAAAGCCTGTATTACCTGCAATAACCTGAATGTTCTAGTTTACACACCTAATGAACAAGCAATAAACATGTGTCAGGTCTGGGGAAGCAGGAAAAGAGGCAGCCTTTAGGGATTTTTAAGTCAACCATTTCCAACTCCGAATTCCACTTAGGAAACAAGCACTTTAGGTAGATTTCTCTAATCAGTCACTTTAGGATCCAGATCTCAAAGTGATGAGTGGTGACTAGACAGAAAGGGGCAGGGTAGAAAGTTCCTCCCTAAGCAAACAGAAAGCATTTCCACCTATCTAGGTAGTTATAATGCACTCATCACTGTCCTATTTGACTGCGTTCACTTCCTAAGAAACTGCCAATACGCATGTCTAATGCAAAAATCCTTTCCACAAATTCTACACCATACACACAGGTTAGTTACATGAATTGCATTACAAGTTTGTCTCCTTCAACCCTCAGTGAAGCCCACAAATTTATTTATGCATCAGTATCTTAATGCTGCCATTAACATGCTTACTCTGAACACAAGACTTCCACTCAGCAAGATGAATGGCTGCTGAATCTCTAAGTCTGTGCCCTTCAAGGCCGCAGGTTTAACAGGTCTCCAGCTTTGAGATCCTAGGCTGGTGATGAAAGGGAAATGATGCACGTAAAACAATGGCAAGCTCTGTTCCTACAGAGACACAGAGCAGTGGTCTGATAAGAAAGTTATCAGATACCATATGTAAAAAACTCCTGGATACAATTCCAAAGCAATGTGACTGGGAAAAGATACATATCACTACTCGTTGACAGGGCTAAATTCTGCTCTGCTTACCCTAGCGTTAATCTGGAGTAAATCCTGTGATTTCAAAGGAATTACTCCAGATTTAAACCCGCGTAACCAGAAGCAGAGTTTGGCCCCTGTCTGCATAAACAAGTGAAAAAGGTTTTATTTTTATTTTTAAGACACAGAAATTGCTCTACCTAACAATGTGCCAGGACCTGGGTGTGAAATTGCAGCTGCAAACCCTCAGGGATGAAGCCAAGAGGCTTTGATTTGCTTTCTCTGCAGTAAATAAACCTTAGAGACTTTTGCTGCAGCAGTTAGTCCGATTTCCATTTCAGTTCGCAACTCTGGGCTCTTACTGCTGCCTAGTCCTGGGGCACTAAATCTTTACCCTTTGTCCTACAATCTGAATCTAATTTCAGGCTGCAGATGAAGCTAGTTTGGCAGCTGTCTTCAAGCTGCTCCTTGCCAGACTTCACAGCCGAGACCTCAGCCAGCATTTGCCCGCTTTGTGGAACGTACAGGGATTGAACTGTCATGAGGTTAAAAATCACAACTGGCTCATAAATGTAGTTCCAAACTTCTCTGTGTGATTCCCTTCTGTTTAAATATTCAACTAAAAAGTGCTACTGAAATTCAGCCAGTAGCTTGGGATGAGGATGGAAAACCAGGAAGCTTTAGGGTCTGCAGTTTGAGTACCATGCCCAGGCAGGGTTTAAAATGCACAGTCCGATGCAAGAATCGCCACAACAAATGGAATTAGGGGAGGTTGGGTTTGGTTAAAAAACAATGCCCAGGTGAGGACCTTGCAGATTAAGTTTCTTCCCAAAGCAAATCATAGAAATATAGAACTGGAAGGGACCTTAAGAGGTAGTTATAAACACCTGAATAATGGTCTAAAATTATCATCAGCAAACGCAGTATTAGGAGATACTGCTGGAAAAGCCCCATATTCAGCTGAAATACTGGGATGGGCTCCACTTTTTTTTAATAGAGCTGTCGATTTATTAAGTAACACTAGCTTTCCTCTTGCCTTAAGGCACCTGCAGTGAAACCCTGTTGATTCACACTAATGACAGGAGACCTAACTTACAGAAGTTGGTCACTTAACAAGTCTGCTAACAAATGTGAGTTAAAAACACCAAGGAGCATCATAAAGTATACTTTGATCATTTATTCTGAAAATAGTTAGATTTGAATCATTCATGTTTCATAAACTAGCGCTTTTCATCCGTAGATCTCAAAGTGCTTTGCAAAGGAGATCAGTATGGTTATTAACAAAAGAGTTTTAGTAATATGACATCTCATCAGACAGCACCTCCCCATGATATGGGGCCAGCAGAGCAAGTGATGCTAGGTCACCCTTGCTAGAACAGAGAGGGATGTGGTTCTCAGTAAAGGCCTTGGGATTTGCTAACTTTCACAGGACACTGCAGGCTTGTTTGTTTCATTCAGCATCTGAAGAGAGGTAGATGGATGGAGGTACTGGCCACTGGATGGGTGTGGGAGTGTTTGAATAAATGTGCTGTGGCTTGCTAAGATGGCTGAGCTGAATGTATTGTATTTTGTCATTTTAAATAATTGGCAGAGTGCTCGGAACTAGCAGAAGAGAGCTTTTATTCATTCTAAATTTGAGGATTGGGGTGAGATGGCTGGGATCTGTTTGTGAGCATTAGCCTGCCTGGGGAGTTGTTAAGTGAGAATTAGCGAGGTTCTATTGTAGGGGAAACTAAAGTAGATTATGAAGCAGACAGAGCTTTGGGAAAGTATGAAATGACACTGCTGTATGAAACTGACACTGCCAAGCACAGGACACTGCCAAGAGCTCCAATTTTTCTTTACAGTTTGAAGTACATTTTCAGGCCCATAAAATGACAGAGGCTATTATCCTGGTAGTGCCATGAGCCCCTAATGTGACATGCCTGAGCTGCACAAATACCTAGAACTAATGACGCTTTGCTTTTACCGCTCCCCATCTGTTCAAGTGTATTTAAAAATGTGCCAAATCAGGTTTATCCCTGTAATGTTTATTGCTGCTCTGAATCTAACAAATGACTCAGAGTGCAATCAAACGTTTGTTTGGCTTTGTTCACTCTTTGAGGGGAGAGGATCCCAGTCCAATTGCTGTTCACGCGGAGTGCAGCTCCACCAGCCAAACGTGGCCAGTGAGGAGTTCTACAATAAAAACAAGAAGTGAAGCAAGTCCTTTCACCCCCTTCCCCTCCCCAAAATGAATTCTGGACAAATCTATCTGCGTATTTATACTGAGCACCATCACTATGTTATCAAACAAGACTGTCCTATTACAGGCACAAAGCCAGCGAGGTCAGGACAAAGAAGAGAAGGAGAAATCTGCACCCAAACTGGTCCATGCTTCTTGTAAATAGGTAGATGGTTTCCAAGCAAACTCAGTCCCAGATGACAGGCTTGTAACAGAAAAATGCATACAGGAAAGCTCAACCTTTTGCTCCCACTAAGTCCCTTTAAGACTCAAAGTTGTTGAACTGTGCATCCAAGAAATAAAGCAGTATCATTGTCATGTAGACCCTATGTTCATTCAAGTAGCTTCTATCCAGCAAAGAACCCAGTTTATTTTCAGGGTAACAGAGCTTATGGATATTACAGCTCAGAGCCATTACTATGTATTTTACATGAGTAAAACTTCTTTTATTACTGGTATACAAGAGACACATTTTCACAAGAGTTCAGCCAGTTTCTTGTAGATTCAGAGCAGCTAGAATTTTGAAAGTTAACGTTATGAAAAATAATTTTATTTTGATATATATCTATAAAAAGAACATTCCATTAACACACAGATGGTGCATAGCACTGCTCTGCCAGCAGTCTCCGGCTAGAGAATCAGGAAACCCACCCTAGCACAGATTCCATGGGGGACTGGAAAGGGAGTGCAGTGACTAGGCTAGTTCAGTGGGTAAGTGTCTGCGTAATTAATGCCCACTTTGGAATGGCTTTTTCTAGCCCCCTATCAAGGAACCACCCTTCCAGAGATGCATTCAAACTGATTTTTTTTTCCACAAGGGTAATTTAAAAAGGACCCCAAGAATGTATTTTTCATAATTTCTAAAGTAGATTCCTCTTCTCTTTCCCTGCAACAATTTAATCACCACTGTCGAAGCTTGAAACAAAAAAAATCAATTTTCCTTAGCACCAGGTTCCTATCTCATCCTTCATGCAGGCTCTCTGGTTTGTTTACTGTAAGGTAGTTTGTGAGCACTGGGAATATGCACCTTGGTTTGTTATCAGAGGGCTGCTCTTCGGCTCTGCATTGCTGGCATAGAAAGAGTATTTATATGAAGGTTAGAAAAAAAAAATAGGGAAGAGCACTGAAGTGTTCCTCTGGGAAGAAATCCATGCAAAGTTACATGGACTTTGCAACTGGAAGAGAAAAGGCAGATTACATTTGGGGTTTGCTAACGTCTGATAAACATGTAGAGGTAGACTATTTTAATAAAAGGGGCTCCATTATTTTGTTGTTTTAGTGCTTCTATTTACATTTCTTTCCTCTCAAATTTTGGCCATTTGTTGGTAAGCCACCTTTTTTGCAGCGTCTCTAGTACGTCTGCAGCAAAATGGGGGCTTTATTTTTATTCATTCATCACTGGCAAAATATGGAATGAAGATGGAGAATTACATTTTCACCAGGTTAGCCGGGTAACATGCATACTTACTGTATCACTTTTTGAAATACCTGAATTTAAGTCCTAGAGAAAGGTATCTGAAAATTAATTTGAATTATGAAGCTCATGCTTTATCACTTGGGCAGAAATAGGCCTGATCAAGGATACATTAGCAAAACAGACATTTTATACTCCCTATAAAAGGTAACAGCTCAGCATTTATATAATGCCAGAACCTAACTGTTTCTCAACATTTTGCATACACCAAAAAAGAGAAATATAATGAAGCCCTTGGCACAGAATTCCTGATACAAGGAGAAACTTCAATGTACCAACATGTTAATTTGCTTAGAAAACTGACCTGAAAAAAGAACATATCTGAGAAGTAAAAACCTTCTATGTGCAGAAAACGCAAATATATTTCACACACTGCAAAGCCCTCTTAAAATGAATCTCTAGTTAAAGAATAAAACATTTTGGGGCAACAGGACTTTACATTTCACAGAGTTCTGTTGTGTTAGGAGCGGACGTTTCTTATTCATAAACGGGGTGGTTGGGGAACCTTTTCGCAGTAGGACAAGCACCACCTGGCTCTTTGGTAGTATTTAAAAAAACCCAGTTTGGGTAAATTTGCATAGGGGAGGGGAGGGAAGGGAAATGCGCTCAAAGGGGAAGGAGATGCGAAAGACGCAGTAAATGGGCCCTAGAAAGCAGCTCTGGGTGCCTTCTGCCTATATCATCAGGGTACAAACAGCTACCAACTCCAAGGTTCTTACTGCTGGGGATGTCACACTTTATTGGCAATTATGAAAATCATGCACGTTTAGCAATGCACTCCAGCTCCTGGCGAGCTGCCAACATGGCCCCTCCGGGTTGCAAAGTTTGGGTGCCCCAATTGAGGGGAGTTTTGTTGAGTAGGACATTACATGGTTATCTGGAGGAATGGGAGGAGGAGCTTCATTAAACTGTCCCATTTGGTGAAGAGCAAACAGAATCAACACAGACCTCAGTGGCCAGAGAGAACCTGTATCCTATTAGACAAAAAGAAAGAAAAAAACCCCTTCTTGGGAAGCCAAGAACATGCGTCATAATCCAAGCACCTCAATTCGTCTAGTTTCCAGTATCCCCTTATTGCTTCTGGAGGTCAGTATGTTATAAAGAGTTTGGTTTTGTTTGTTAAAAACAAGACGATGACAAAAATCCACACACCCCAGTGAGCTTTTGGAATTGTGAAACATTAATGAAATCACATCGGAACTCATCTAAACATCCCACAGTACTTAACATGCTCCTGAGCAGTCACTGCCTGCAATGCATGACCTCGTTAAAAAGATGGGCAGCCAGAGAAATGCATCCTCCCCCCCCAGGACAACAACGAAGAGCCTTGTCTAGCTGTAGCATATGTTAAGTCTAACTGGCCGACAAGTGCTTCTGAGGGAACACGCTGTCAGAACGCTACATTAAGAGGAGGAGGAGATTTCCTGGAGAAGGGAATGCAAAGTATTTTCCTCCTCCCTTTCCCCGCCGTCCCCCCCCCCGAAACAAACAAACGAAACACACAACGTTATTTGCAAACAACAAAGAGACAACACACAGTCCTGAGAACATGCAACACAACAGAGGAGCTCCCAGACAGCACAGTCCCACATGGTTATCTCTGGGTTGTTATTTGTGGCAGTATAACAGGGGCACATGCTATGCCAGCAAAAGACTCTGGGAAATGCAGGTCCCTTTCCCATTCATCTGTTTCCATGTTATACACTTGCACGATGCTCGTTACATTGTTCAGGTGCCAGTTGTACCCTCCCACAATATAGATCTTCTTTTCTAACAAGCAACAACCAGCTTCTGACTGACCTGCCCGCATAGGGTTCACAGTTGTCCATTGGTCAGTTTCAGGCACATAGTATTCCACAGCCAATACATCAAAACAACGGTCAACGTGGTCCATGCGCCCTCCTAGGGCATAAATCCTCGTATTTGCACTGACCATGGCATGCAGGACTCTAGGTTCATTCATTGGGGTTTTAAACTCCCATTGATCAGCTGCCGGGTCATAACAGTGCAGGGCTTTTTTGTCTTCCACTGATATTCCATATCCACCCGATATGTACAGCTTGCCGCCCACTGTGGCCCCAGCATGCCCCCATGTCCTGCGTTTGAGGGAGCACACATAGGTCCACTCATTCTTTTTGGGACAGTACTTCTCTACGGAGGCCAGGCTCCCTGACCGGTTCCTCCCACCTGTGGCATACACCATGCCGTACAAGACATTCAGCTGAAATTGTATCCTGCTCTCTTGCATGGCTTGGATGCGCAGCCACTGGTTCAAGTGGGGGTCATAGCGGTAGCAGATATCTACAGCTCCCTCACCACTGCGGTACTGCAGATGCTGCCCCCCCACGACGTAGACAAAGTTGTCAAGCACAGCCACACAGGCATGGCTGCTGCCCACCTCCATCTCAGTGAGCTCCTTGAATTGACGCACATTGGTGTCTGGCAAGTAATACACTTTGCCGCTCACAGTCCGGTCATTGTCAGTGTATGGGGTGCCGCCAAAGGTGATGAGGGACAGGACATCGGAACGGATGGTGGTTCGAGGAGACTGCATCTCATGCTGGCGGAAGGGCAAGATCTGGTAGTTGAACGCCTCCAGCAAATACTGCCGGCACAGGACGTCTTCCACCATGATGTCCAGGGTCTGCACGCTGTCCACCAGCTCAGACGATTTCATGAGCGGGAAGCGAATGTGGCAGAGCACCTGGCTGGCGTTGGCACGGCGGGACTGGTCATACTGCAGCCAGCGGATGGCAGCTTGGAAGAGGTCTATTTCACTGCAGCTCTTTAGTTTATTGCTTTGCAGGAAGAAGACAAGGCGCTCCAGGGGCAGGTGAAGAAAATCCTCTTCCTCAGAAATCTGAAGGAAGTGCCTAAAGGTGAACGTGTCTACTGATTCCTTCAAGGACGCGAGACTGAAGGTGGTGGCCATCTGCCCGATATTAAGACACGTTTCAACACTCATTGCAGACTTCAGGAACTCTTCGCAGAGCTCTACCACGGGCACCATCTGGAGGAAGACTGCAGCTCCCAGCACATCCTGAATACAGTCAAGGTCGAGAGTCACTTCAGCACTATAAGCAAAGTCTATTATGTGTTTCAGTCCTTTTGCGGATACCCCTTTCAGTTCAATCACATCTTGGCTGGTTTCTCTCATCCCTCCTGTGAACATTGCCCTGAAGGTCAAAAACACAAGAGAAATTCTTGTTTCCAATCATGTGTAAAGTGATGCACTGTCTACCTTAAGTTGTTTTGTTTTTGTGTTTTTTTTTGGGGGGGGGGGGGGACTGGTAATCAAAGCACAGCATCTTGAAAGGCCTAACTGCCAAAGAGAAATGGGAGCACGAAATAACCAATACTAACCTTATGATGGAACATACAATGAAGGTAAAAATTAAATATTCCAGTTATAAAAAAATAAGGTCTCAATCCTGCTCCTGCAAAAACCACCAGGGGTAACTGCACACCTAAATTCCTGATTTGCAAGTGCAAATGGGGGTTTTGTGGGTGCAGTGGGAATGCAGAGATTTCTACAGGCCCTGGTATTTGGGGGTTCAATGATGCTTTGGATTTACATGGAGCAGGGCGTTTCAGGCAAGGATTTCAGTTTGGCCCATTGTATTGTGTGTGAACTTATTAATGGCTTTAAGATTCTGGACACATGGAGAACTTTGCAATTGCTGCAAATCTCAATACAAGGATCTGACTTTTCTTGACTGTAAAATTCCATTTGGTAATTGTGATAGAGAACTGCAGAGAGCACGCTGCTGGCCAGTCACTGAGACATCCTGCCAGAAGCTAATGCCCAGCACACTTTGGCCACAGCCTTTATACACCCATCACTCTAGGAGTGCCAGGCATCAGTTGCCGAGTCTTACACTTCACAGAAATATCTGGACCAAGCCTATTAAAGGACCATCAGTGTTTTTATATGAGGAGGTCGAGAACTACTTAGCTACAAACACTTGCTCCAATTACATGCTTCCCTGCACACTAGTGCAGCTACGCTGCTGGTTTTGAGGGTTATTCTCCACTCCCTATGAAACTGTGAGTTTGCACCATCTTCCGAAAGTTGCTGTCGTATTGCAGGAGGACAGCAGGGGGCTAGCAGGCAATTAAAAACAATATCTAGTTACAGCACAGCTGTGAGCAAATCAGTTGACCAGGCCTTGCACAGATTAGGCCCTGGATCCCCTCATCAGGAGGCTTCTAAATTCCACAGGCGGTACATGCAGAGCCAGGTGCTGCAGGCAAAGCTAGTAAGCTGTTCTAGGTAGGTGCTGCGTTTCCCACTCTGTGGGCATGATGGGGCTGTAGCCACATGTCATTTACAAGTTTACATTAAACTTAGGCGCCGTTTATGTTACTTCTGGGAAGCTTGAGTGCAAAGGTTTGTTTTGTGAACACATGCCTCAGCTAGTGTTGCCAGAGGGGCGCAGGGAGCAAACGCCTCTTGCAAACACGTTGCTGGAGAAGCAACGAGGAGCCACTTTCACCAAAACCAGGTTCAGGCTGCATAAAGGTCCAAAGGGTCTGCAATTTAAAAAGGGCTTTTAATGGATATGTGCTTCCCCCCACTTTAGGGCCTCCCACCCCCACCTGGCCCCCTTTGCCTCTCTCTTCCAAGTTCCACCCTCTTGGATTTGGACTTCACCATGGGGCTGCTGCAGGAAGCTACAGAAACATCAAGGAGCAGCCACACAAAGTATATCTCCCCGGCCAGTCAAGGTGTCTCTGCAGCGCCTGGAGGAATCCTCACACGACCTTTCATTTGGCTAGTGCGGGTAACCATGGCAGTGAAGAGGGTGGCACAGCCTTCAGCACAACCGAAGTACGGAGCCAGGGTCCCGCAGGCTAGGACCGGGATGGCGAGCCTGTCTTCACTGCTCTGGTTACCCCCACTAGCCAGAGGAAAGCTGGCATGGGCCCGGCATACCCACACCACAGTTACACCTTAGCTTGCAGGCTAGATAGACCCTAAAAGAGCCGGGAAGCGGGAAAGTGCCCCTCCCCAACCTCACAACTATTTGGCAGTTTGGAGGAGTTAGGCTTTCCATGGGGATTTTGTTTGACATGTTCTCCAATGACCTTTGCTTTGATTTAAAAGGTCTTAAATAGGCAGTCACTGCTACCTAAATCAGGGCACCTTGGGGAGAAGGAAACTGATTTTGTACCTTCAAGGAGTTAGACACAGGAGTAAAATAATGGCTTGGGTTGCAATTCCCCTCCCCAAACTGTGCCAAAAGGATTGGTGCAGTCCAGTGTGGGCACCCAGACAGCTGAGCTGAGTGGGAGACCTGGGGATAAAATGGGCCTTCCATGGCCCAGTGACCAATAATACTATTGACTGATGTTGTATGTCCATGCAACAGAAAGGAGCATTATATTACAATCCCTCCACATAACCATCTTCCAGAGCAGTATGCTGCTTTCGGCAGGGCCACCCAGAGGATTCAGGGGGTCTGGAGTCTTCGGGGATGGGGGTTCTTCCACTCCGGGTGTGTTCGGTGGCACTGAAAGACCCCCTGCCGCCGAATTGCCACCGAAAACTCTACTGGGGGCCCCTGTGGGGCCTGGGGCAAATTGCCCCACTTGCCGCTCCCCCCCCGGGCGACCCTGGTTTTCGGTCCACCTGGAATGCAGACGTATTTGTTGGGTAGAGAAGCTGAATGTGAAGAAGGAAACAGGCAGGGGACTGGACTGGATGACCTCTCGAGGTCCCTTCCTGTCCTATGATTCTATGAAATAGTGAAATCATGCAATTCCTGTAAAAGCTGTTATGGGTCTGAAATACTGGCTACAGAAATGTATGAAAGAGGCATTTAGTGCTCTGACACCTTTCTGAATAAAAAGCAGGGTATTTTCAAAGGCTAGATTATGCTACCATTGTTCCCCAGGACAGCCCTACTTAACACAACAGTGGTGGTAAAAGAACCCTACTAGGCAATTATGGTTGGCGGTGAGAACACACGAGCAATGGCACTGCCACAGCCTTTATGAATACAAATGGTGCTATTAGCATTTGGTGGAAGATCATCTCCATTGTTAATCGCCTGCCTGTTAGGGACAGCGATAAACCTTTAGGGCTCACGGTAATGGAAAAAACACAGCTCCTGGATTGGCTAAGAAAACAGACACACAACAAGGCAGCCTGGACCAGCAGCAAAATGTGGTGGAAAAATCAAAGAGACGTCCCTGTACACAGTGCTTGGTGTTCTTGGCCATTGGGATCCAGCGGCCAAGCCCCTCAGACCCGGCAAGAGCCAGCACTTCCAGGGACTGCAGACTCCACCTACGGGGCCCTTTGCCCCTTTAGCTCCCAGTGTTGAACGGCCGTTCATCAGGAACTCCAATGCAACTCAGACTCTTCGGATCAAAACACCTGCTGGACCCCCAGTACCCTTTAGCATTTGGAACTGCTGCTTCCCTGTCAGGAAGCGATCCCGCTCTCAAATGCGCTGTCAGTTAATAACAGTTTGACAGAGAGGTTGGAGGGCCCCGGGGGGAGGATGCTAGCTAGTGACTCAGGACAGCTGGGTCCAGTGCCCTGCTTTGCCTCAGACTCACTCCAGGTCTGGCCTAGGGCAAGTTAGCTCATTTTTCTGCCTCCATTCTGCATTGGTACCAAGAGGGTGACAGCCCTGCCTCACCTCCCAGGGGTGCTGGAAGGATACGTCCAGCCAAACTGTGAGGCTCAGCTACTCTGGGAATGAGAGCTGAAGAAGACTGGGACATTCAGATGAGAAAAGAGACGCCTAAGAGGGAATATGACCAAGGTCTATAAAAAAGTGGCTGGTGTGGAGAAGGTGAACAGGGAAGTGTAATTTATCCTTTCCCATAACACAAGAACCAGGGGTCACCCGATGAAATGACCAGGCAGCAGGTGTAAAAGAAACACAAGGCAGTGCTTCTTCACACAGCGCACCATCACTCTGTGGAACTCGTTGCTGGGGGATGTTGTGAAGGCCAAAAGTATAACTATGTTAAAAAAAGAATTAGCTCAGTTCCTGGAGGACACGTCCATCAGTGGCTATTAGCCAAGATAGTCAGGGATGCAACCCCATGCTCCAGGTGTCCCTAAACCTGGGAATGGACGACAGGGGATGAAGCACTCAGTAACTGCCCTGTTCTGTTCATTCCCTCTTGAAGCATCTGGCACTGGTCAGACACAGGATACTGGGTTAAATGGACCACTGGTCTGACCCAAGGTGGCCATTCTGATGTTCTTAATGGGGGCCATAACACCTTAGATAAAATGACATGTAATAGTTGAAAATAACAAGCTAGCATTTGCATTATTGCTACCTAACTTCTCCCCTGGAGGCTCTTATGGTTGTGGTCACCATCCTTCCAGCTCAGAGCCACTCGATGACCCTCCATAATCAGCTGGAATAGCCCTCGCTGAGTTTCCCTCCCTGACAGGCAGAGAGCACTGCCCGGGCAGCCTCCAAAAGGAGACCAAGACCTAGAATTGAATATTGAATAGTTGCTCGCTCCGCACAGATTTCACTGTGACTAAGGTGCAACTCAGTGTGAGTGAGCAGCCAGCCCTTAATTTCACAACCCACCAACTTTCCTAGAGTAAAGGAGGAAAGGCAAAGGAAGAGATGCCTGGTTCTGCTTTCCTGTCAGATTCTCACCTGAAGTAGTCACTGCAGGCAGCCAAGACAACTTTATGAACCTGAAACACTTCGTTATTTATAGTGAGGATGACATCAAGCAGCTGAGCCTGAGCCCGGAGCGAGGCCAGTCCTTGCAGGAGAGTGGTGCTGTGGCCAGGAGCAGAGAACGTGCATTTCAGGGCGCTGTTCTTGTCAGCCATGCTAAAAACAGAACAAGAGAAACAGACTGGTTTTTTAAATTTAAAACGTGTGATACACCTATGGAGCTACCTGCTGGGGAAGATGCTGTGATGTAAAGCAGTTTGAGAGCAATCATACCGGGTTCTCCAGCTCAAATGCAGTGCAGAACATGATGATGTCCATAGCTTCGCTGTCACTCCCCCCCCAGACAGATTTCTGAATTTTTAAATTACATTTTCACGTTACTGACAACAAGCTGTCAGCCTGCAGCTGACATGGGCTTCTTGGCTAGCAGATCAGAGCCAGCCTAAACACCAGCAAACAGGGCCAAGCAATTCACACACACTGCTGGGACCCCACAGTTGTGACTAACT